GCACATCAATGAAAAAATTATATATATATATATATATATATATATATATATATATATATAATATTATATTATAAAATATTATTTTTTTTATTTTTATTTTTTTACTGCACAATTGGAAAATTTAAGTGAGCACTTTATTCACTAAGCATTCTCTATAACTTAAATAAGCCCTAATAAATAAGCCCTTTGAGTAATTTATGGACAGTATTCTAAAGTAAAGCAGCAACGATATATATATATATATATATATATTTAAAATTAGTATCATTTGTATAGTACACCTTGTTATCAAAAACTAGTTTATAAACAATATTTAATTAGTTAAGGCAAGAAAATATTTTGTATCAATCCACCTGATTCATGATCCTACTATATATCTAAATCAATCAATCTTTCTTTCTTTCTTTCTATATATATATATATATTTTTTTTATTATTTATTTTTTTTTTTTATTATGACACGATATTAATAAATAATGTTTTCCAATAAACCCAGAACCATCAGACAGATGTCTACATTTCTGGACCTGAATCTATGGCACATACATGGCCATTTGTGTATTCATGAAACTCCTCTTGGTCAGGAGGATCCATAGATGTACAGCAAATAAATTAAGGTGAACTCGCTATTGATTATGACTCATTGACTTATACCGGGTCACCTCCTCTGTCAAGTTTATGTTTTAATTACCTACTGAGGTGCCTATGTAACATGTGCCATCCCCGCATGGTGATTTAACCCCTTGGGCGCCGGAGGGAGCTCTCTCTCCACCTCCCTTCTGGGTAGTGGAACCCATAGCACACAGGGCAAGGCTGTGGATTCACCTGCTGTTCTGTTCTTCTGCTCATCTCCCTCAGTGTTACAAGTTAATAATGTCTCCCCATGCCACACAAATCCTTGGCCAGAATTGTGCAGCTTGCCCATGCTTCCAGGTTGTTGAGTTCCCCTTCCCATCATGCCAACTTCCCATTGCCAAAGACGTGTTTCATTTGTTTGACATTGCAAAAACAAATAACATTTAAAACACATAAGTGGTTGTATTTTACACTTGGGGAGAGACAGAAGAGATTGGAAATTCGGGGAGGTTTGAGAGTTTTTGTTGAACTTTAGGATTTTCTTTCAGTTTACTATCTGATACGTAACTAATAATTTATGTGGTAGTTAAAAATAAAGAAAAAAAAGACTGAAGTAGGTCTACAATAAAAGAAATTCTAGTATTAGTCTGTATGTCCAACTGTTTTTGTATATTATTATTATTTATTCTTCTTGTTACTGCAATTGTCTTTTTCCTGTTACTAATATCAAGATATTTGATATGAGAGTGCTGTAAAAATGTTGTTTTGCTTCTTTGTATATAATAATAATAACAACAACAACAACTATTATTATTATTACAACATCAATAATAATAATACTAACAATAATAATAATAAAATAAGAATAATAATATTACTAACAACAATGATAATAATAATAATAATAATAATAACAACAACAACTATACTACTACCACTACTACTAACAATATTATTATTATTAATAATAATAATAATAATAATAATAAAATAATATATACTAACAACAACAACAATATTATTATTAACTAATGCTAATAAATAATAATAATAATAATACTATTCGTGCTGATATTCCTGTTGATCATTGCAGTTGATATCTTTTATAGCAGCTGTTTATATTACAACACATAATGCAACACATTATGGGCATAATAAAATGGTTTATTTGATGCATTTTTGGAGGACTGAACAGACACAATATGGAGTGATATCTTAATCATAAAATTACAAACGTCAGGCCATATTTCATAAACGTAAAAACTAACATAAAGATGCTAGTTTCCAGTGATAAAGCGATATATTTGCCCCCTAAAACTAGCAGAAGAGGGTGAAACAACATCCATATGAGTTTTTTTCTGTTTTTTTTCTTGAAGTATACATTATATTATTTTATGTATAGCATAACCATACGAAGAGAGTAGTTTAAGGCAAATATAGAACATTCATCCCTCAGAGGTGACAGTCCTGAATCCTGAACACATTAATATAGGCTCGTCTAACAGTTTAGAACTGAACATTCAACTTGTAATGGCACTGAGAAAAAAAGTCTAGAGCAGAAAAGATCCCGAATGTGCGGTCCGTGTGTTCTTTATTATTTACAAGGGCATACATTGTAAAAAGAAGAGGAAGCTGTGACTCGGACCAAGCATATGGGAACATTATATTTACACTGGTTTGGGGCTTTTTTATTGGGAGGAGGACGAAGTTGCTTGTTGTATTGAGATTGGATGCTACATAATAACAATATGATTTGCATCCTCTGGAATAGATGAGTTGGTTAGGTAGCCCCGCCCTCGTGTTCCTTTTAGCCCCGCCCATCAAACTTGTGGGAACACCCACAACCGGTTTCCCAATATATAACCCTTTCATGCCTATGAGACTATACTGAGCTCCCTAAACAGCAACAAAGCAATGACCAGCAAGGGGTTAAATCTTGTGTTGAGAGATTCGAATAGCTCTGCAGATGATTGTATAGACATCTGTCAGATGTGCAATATTCCCTGCAAGGTAGGTGAGGCCCACTTACCGTCCAAGCCTGCACTTCACATATGTAACACGTTGTGTGTGAAATGGTATCTAATGGACAAGAACCGATCCCTGGCTACTGGGGACGTTTAACCCTTTGTGTAGGACATCTAGCTCACTATGATTTACCCAAGATTGTATTATATGTATGTTAACCCTTTGTGTAGGACATCTAGCTCACTATGCCTTATCCAAGATTGTACTACAAGTATGTTAACCCTTTGTGTGGGATACACATCTGACTATGTCTTACCCTAGGTTGTATTATAAGTATTTAACCCTTTGTGTAGGACATCTAGGTGCCTATGCCTTATCTGAGACTGTATTACATGTAGTTTAACCCTTTGTGTAGGACACCCAGGTGCCTATGCCTTATATGAGACTGTATTACATGTAGTTTACCCTTTGTGTAGGACATCTAGGTGCCTATGCCTTATCTAAGACTGTATTACATGTAGCTTAACCCTTTGTGTAGGACACCCAAGTGCCTATGCCTTATCTAAGACTGTATTACATGTAGTTTAACCCTTTGTGTTGGACACCAAAGTGCCTATGCCTTATCTGAGACTGTATTACATGTAGTTTAAACCCTTTGTGTAGGACATCTAGTTGACAACGTCTTATCCAAGAATGTATTACATGTAGTTTAACCCTTTGTTTAGGTAAACAAGGTGTCTATGTCATATCCTTGACTGTTTTACATGTAGTTTAACCCTTTGTGCAGGACACCCAGGTGACTATGCCTCTTTCATACTACAAGTGTTTTAACCCTTTGAGTTGGATGCCCAGCTGACTATGCCTTATTCCAGATTGTACTACAAATATTCAAACGTTTTGCTTAGGACACCTAGGTCACTGACCTATCCAAGACTGTAGGACAAGTACTTTAACCCTTTGTGCAGGTGTCTATGGCTTACCCAGGATTGCACCACAAGTATTTTTTTAACCCTGTGGATAGGACACCGAGTTGACATTTCCTTAACCAAGATTGTACTACAAATATGATAAGCCTTTGTGTAGGCCACCCAGCTTGACCATTCCTTCTCCAAAATTGTACTACAAGTATGTTAACCCTTTGTGTTGTACATCCGGGTAACTATGCCTTATCCAGAATGTTACCACAAGTATATGGTACCCATCTTACTATGACTTTTCCGAGATTGCACTACATGTTAACCCTTTGAGTTGGACAACCAACTGAAGACCTAGCAATATTTTAACCCTTCATATTTGGCCTCGAACTGACTTAAACCCAGACTGTAGAGCAGATATTTTGACCCCGTTGTGCCTGGCCTTGGGCTTTGATTTGCTCTGTTAGTATACGGGGGTACACAATGAAATACATAGAATTTACAAATTGAATTCCTGGTTTGCGGTGTAAAAAAAAACAGCATAATATAACGATGGCTGGTTGCAGGAATGTGAAAAGAGCAAGAAGGCAATGAGAAGGTCGTATTAGTAAATAGATGTCATTGCTAGTCACCAATAAGCCGGTGTCACAGATAAGGATGGCAGGAGCTCCATGCTAAGAAAGAGTATTTTGGGAAGTGAGTGGGTAATCAGTGGGTGGAGCTTAGACACCGACTGCCGCAAGGGGGGTGGCATCCTCTGCCAAGCTGATTGGATGCCAGTTTGCTGTACGAACGGCAATAGTATTGCAGCAGTGAGACAAAAATATACCAAACTGACATATAAAATTATAGAGTGACACCCTCCTTTTTGCTCTTAGCTCTGATGATAACCCAAACCCTTTCCTCCCCAGAACAAATCCAAATAAACAGGACCTAAGTGCAAAACTATATCATCCCCTTCATGTATAAATAAATCATATTTTTGCAACTCTTTACACAACTATTAAAACATTTTTTTAAAAAGAAGAGAAAAATGTATACGTTTTAATACAATGCGATAAAACATCGTTCCTGCTTTTTTATTTTAAGATAACACAAAAATTATAATATAAAAACTTAGGACAAATATTAGCTATTTATTAAATTTCACAGTAGTGCGAAAAAATGCAGCAGTTTAATCTTTGGACTTTTAGCAGAGCTGTTCAATCACATGAACGTCCAAAACCCAAAAAACGTCGCTTAGTATAAAATAAAGCGTTAAGCATAAAATAAATCGGTAAAGATAGAATCTCAATCCCATCAAACAAGGAAACAAAAATAGTTCAGGAGCGAATATTTTGGATTTTTTTTTAGTTTTTGCCTGTAAATTATTTACATATAATATTGCGAATTTTTGTCCCCATACAGAAGCAAGATGCTGGTATAATTTTTGTACACTGGCCCTTGTCAACTTTTTTTTTTTCGCCATTTTTTAAAATTCGTGTATTTTTTGTTGTTTAAATTATTGCATTGTAAGACTTGTTTTCTTGGCTCCACCATCTGCTTCTATTCGCTGTCTGATTTGCTGTCCTTGGAGGTGGTGGAGTGGTTATAGAGTCCTTGTGCCATCAGATGTAGTGCCAGAGAGTTTTTGCTCCCTGACGCTTTTTTTAATTTTAGCTCGTTTGTTCTGAAACCAGATTTTAATTTGAGACTCGTTAAGATTCAGTTCCTGAGCCAAACTTTGTCTTCTCTGCTCGGTCAAATACCTGTTGTCTGAAACTCAGCTTTGAGCCTTTGGAGCTGCTCCGCAGTGAATGCTGTCCGGGGCCTTTTGTCCTCTTTGCTGACCATCTTCTTCTTTGGTTTTCGGGATCTGGGACCTGAAAACACAGAATATCCCATCAGAAGCAGTCAGAGACATTCCAAGCTTTACACATTTTCACGTTCACACAGGCAATCTTTGTCCCTAATAAATGATCAGTTAGAGATTGGTCATTTTGGTTTGCTTAAGAAGGGGATTTACTAAAGAAATCACTGTTTTACACTGTTCAGTTGGAGTAAAAGGGAGAGTGAGAGAGAGAGAATGGAAGATAGAAATAAGGAGAGAATGTCTTGACATAAAACAGAAAAAAAGATAAATAGGTGAGGACAGGATAGATAGATAGATAGATAGATAGATAGATAGATAGATAGATAGATAGATAGATAGATAGATAGTGGAAGATTGGGTTAAGGAGAGGGAGAGATTAAAACTAGACATAGATAAATAGAAAAAAAAAAAAGATAAATAGAAAGAGGGATAGATAGGCGTGAACAGAGATAGATAAAGAGAGACAGATATTGGAAAATGGTGTTAGGAGAGAAAAAGAGAGAGTGATTAAAATTAGACATAGATAAATAGAAGCAGGATGAATAAATAGAAGAATATTGGTAAAAAAATATAACACATAGATAATGTCAAATAGAGAAAAGGAGAGACATAAATATTAAAGTTAGACACAATAGAAGAAAGATAAATAGATATGTAGAGAAAGAAATAGATAGATAGATAGATAGATAGATAGATAGATAGATAGTTATTTGAATACAGAGTTAAGGAGAGAGAGAGAGAGAGAGAGAGAGAGGAGAGGGAGAGAGAGAGAGAGAGAGAGAGGGAGAGAGAGAAAGAGATATTAAAGTTACACATGGATAAATAGAAGCAAGATATAAATAGATAGATAGATAGATAGATAGATATCGATAGAAAACTATGAGATTAGGAAAAATACATTAAATATATATATATGTATATATATATATATATATCATAGATAGAGAGAGATTTCTGTGCAAGGTACAGAGAAGGGTCTCACAAGTACAAGAACTGATATAATATTTGCAGCGCACAGAGGTAGTGGCGGAGTACATTATCCCACGACAAACATCAGAGGGAATCATTTCATTGCTCTTCTCTGTAATCTGATTGGTTATTTTGGGTTGGTACACATTGTACATTACTGTTTGCTTAATAAAAAGGGGGTAATTTACTAAAAATGGAGAATGCAAAATCTGGTGCAGCTCTGCATAGAAACCAATCAGCTTCCAGGTTTTATTGTCAAATCTTAATTGAAACAAGTTGAAGTCAGAAGCTGATTGGCTACCATGCACAGTTGCACCAGATTCTAAGTGTTCCAGTTTTAGTAAATCCCCCCCCCCCCCCTCCCCCCCAAAGTGTCCATGCTACATACTGCTGGTTGGTCGGATGAGATATTATACCAGTATCAGTAAATAGGGGATGGTATTGCTGACTATTCCTTCTTTATTTTGCGTTTTCTGGTATTTCAGGGGCAGGAGGTACACTGGGTATACAGAGGCCTCCTCCTGCCCTCCCTTCTCCCCACTTCATTCTCTCTACACTTGAAATATTAACAGCAGACATACATTAGTCATTCAGCCCAGCTAATTATTTGCTTCACGTTGCCCACCGCAGCCCTTTAATAATGAAACATGCTATAAAATGTATGCGGATGCTTTGGGGGGTTCCTTCCCCCTAATCTGTATGACATTGTGTGTGGAAGATGAGGGGGGGACTGCTAGCTTGCAGTACAATCTCGTGTCCATGTTTCAGGAGCAGGGACGGCTCTGCTGTTGTTGCTGCCATGTATGTATCGCTTGGGAGGCAAATCAATGCCAGACACATCATTCTCAATCTCTTCTGTCTCACTTAGCTGCCTCTTCAGCTTCCCTTGGCACTGCCCAGACCTTGCCAGCCTCTGATCTCCCTCTGAGGCCCCCTCTGTGCTCCTTCAACCCCCTTCTGCAGGTTTAGCTGCCCTCCATCGTGTTGTGTGCCCAAATAAATGCCCTATTACTCTGCATCTATAGCCAGTGTCCTGCTTCTCCCTCCTCCATCTTTACTGCCATGTCTTCAATATCCCTCCCTCTCTGCTGCCTCTGTGATGCCCCTCTGCCTTCTCCACTATGCCTGTATATATCAGATCCTTGCCTGCCTCTCTCTCTGGAGCTGATCATGGATACCTGGGATCATATAAATGCAGATGCTGCTCATAGCAAACATATATATATATATATATATAATATATATATATATATATAGATAGATAGATAGATAGATATATATAGATAGATATAGATAGATATGTAGATAGATAGATAGATAGATAGATAGATAGATAGATAGATAGATAGAAACAGGCTCACTACAGCCCTGCTATGTGCAGGCTCCAGGCGCTGCATTGTGCCAGGCTTCCCCCCTGCGCTCTGTAGTCAGATCTGCGCACTCCCTCCATCCTGTATTTTTTACGCACAGCCATACACGTGTTTTTACTACAACCTGCCATCAATTCAGCCTCCTTCACCCACAGATCAGATCTGGGACACGTGGGCTCCAATCCTGCTCTTCATTGGAAACATCTCATCCACCCTCTTACAATGTATAGTACCAGTTCCAGCTGAAGCTCATATATATTCTGCAGCACCCACTGGCTGTGCCGTTACCAGGCAGGGTGCAGTGCATGCCCAGGGAAGCTACACACTCTGTCAAAGCACCCCCTACATTGGGATCCTTTTCTCTTTACAAATCTTTATTAGAAAATCTAAAATATCAATCAAAATGTTATATATATATATATATATATATATATATATATATATATAAATATATATATATATAAAATGTGTAATAATGATAATTATACCAGCAATAAAAATAGTAGGGTAAGAAAAATCATTGTATTCCTGATACGCCCTATGTATTTTTTTTCTACAATAAATCAAATATTATTGGCTATATACTATTACACACCCAGATTAAAAAACGACTGCCTTTGAAGTCACAAATGCACATTATGTATACGGAAAATCCCAGATCATAAATAATTCTACTATAAGAACATTCCATTCTAAAAAGAGGTAGGGGGTACCACTTTCCTAGCAGCGCTCTATCCGGCTGGATCCTCTATTATTTTTATTTTTATTCAATATGTCAAATGTTTTGAAAGCTAAACCTGTTCTCTTCTCGAATAAACTAGGCATATTGATTCATGTATTATTTTTTGTTTGCTTTATTTAATTTAAAGAGCCAGTGAAACTGCCTCATGTATTGTACTACAATCTCATTGATAGTATGCAATGCCTTCATAATATAAATAATATATTAATAATATATCAATTGTACTGCGTAGCAGCTAGTTAATTAGTCCTCCTGGCTGCATAAACATATTATAAGTGATTGAAAAAATACAAATAGGGATATGCTATATATGAAGTTATTTTTTAGGGTGGTAATATTAGGAGATAAAGTAGCCGGTGGAATATATAGTTATTAATTTTAACTGAGTTAAAAGTGAAGAGAGATAACGGTCAATTTTGTTGGCCTGTACCATCTGAATGTTGAAGTTGAAGCAACAGCAATAGAACAAAAGGTATCTAGATATAAACATATATGAACATCTACATATATATCTATATCTATCTATCTATCTATCTATCTATCTATCTATCTATCTATCTATCTATATATTTCTATATAAAATATCAGTATTTATATATATATATATACACACACACACACATATGTGTGTGTGTGTGTCTTCTATCTAACTATATCGAGAGAGAGAGGAAGCATTGCATATATATATTTTTTCTTTTTTTTCTATAGAACTATTAATTTCTATAGATATTTAATACTTTGAGAAATGCACAGTCCTATATATAAGACTGTGCATTTCTGAATCTATGCATAGCAATCTGAAGGAATAGAACTGATATATATATATATATATATATATATATATATATATATATATGTTCAGTTCTATTCCTTCAGATTGCTATGTATAGTTTGAGAAATGCACAGCCATTATATATATATATATATATATATATATATATATATATATATATATATATATATTCAGTTCTATTCCTTCAGATTATTATGTATAGTTTGCGAAATACACAGTTTTATATTAGACTAGAGCAAGGCTGACAACACATAATATTCTGTGACAAATAAATTACGTAAGGAAAATGAAACCCCAAATGATGCTTCATTTAAAATGCAAACCCCTTCCTACGTCTAATTGTTAGTAGGAAGCGGAGCTGACGCTAATTAGCTGACAAATTAAAGACTAGTGCTAAAATATGATCTTGGCAATTTCCATTTTTGTGGCTAGGGCATTTGGATTCTAACTACTGACCGAGTCCCAAGTAAAAATAAAAAACAGTTCCTCTCTTCTGCTATACAGAGTGATTTTTTACCTCCAGTTCTCAAACTTCCAGATGGCAGGTTCTTGTAGAAGAAGCCACCAAGGCATGGTGTGATGAAACCACATGGTTTGGTTGGTGGGAAGCCCAGTGGGTCTTACCTGATGAAGGTCTGTCTGAGTACCTGGTACAATAGACCCAGGCTGGCCACAACATAGGCTGCTTCTTGTTGGTGGAGCTGGCTTGAGAACTATCAGAGTCCGAGCTCAAGGAAAGGTCCCCACTCATGGCTCTGGGTTTGAGGGCTCCTTCCATGGCCACCTCGCTTTTCTTGTCCTGGGTGACAGTGATGGCTTTGGATGCCCCTTCTCCCTCGGTAACAGTACCTCGGTGCTGGCTGGGCTCAGTCCCAGTCCGAGCCACACTGTCCCTGCCCAGGTAGAGCTCATCGTTGTGGGCTTCCTTCCTCCTCCCGAACTCCGGCCGCAGGATGTTATCAATGAAGAAGTTGGTGACCCTGCCGTGGGGCTGGTGGTTCCCTGGATCCTGGGAGCAGGATCCCCCGGTTGGAATCATTCCCTGACTCCTGGTGCTGCTCCACTTCCCTGTGGTTCTGGTCATTCTCTTCCATGCTGTAAGTCCACACGAGCTGCCTCTGCCTTTAACCCTTTTTGTGCTGCCTGCCCAGTCACCTACACATTCAAATCCCCCCACCAACCAGAAGATCTCAGGCTGGCCGGTGCGCTCCTCCCGCGGATCACTGGTTCAGCACTGCTGCGAGCCAAAGCATTCTCTTCCCCAGGTCGGGCTCATCTCCATGCAGGAGCAGGTAAATCCTTCACAGGGACCGGCAGACAGGTGGTGTGTGCAGCATGCAGGCATCAAGGCTACAGATGGCTTGGAGGAGCATCTAGAAAAGAATACAAGGTGTAGGGAGCTGTGTGCACAGCATGCACACCGACAGAGGAAGGAGATCAATGGGACACCAGGCAGAGCTGTCCTTATTTTGTGCTGGTATATAATCCCCAGGGCTGCAGTGAAAGGCTCTATACTGTGGACAATTTAGGAAGCACTCACTGGACCTGAAATACTTTCACTCTGGATTTTTGTTCTTATTTTATTAATAGAGCCTCACAAGTGACGTGGGAGCCCGGTATCCTAGACACGTGCCTGCAGCCAATAGACGGGCAGCCCCGGCTCACGTGACCCTGATCCTGAGTAGTAAATTGACAACCAGGAGGCCACGCCCACTCGCACCCCCACCACTTTCTTTTTTTTTTTTAGAGCACTCTCTCCTCCCCCATTCCTGATCCCTCTTCTTATCTTTAAAGCTGCAGCATCTACCAGGAAAGGAAAGAGAGAGAGAGAGAGAGAGAGAGAGAGAGAGAGAGAGAGAGAGAGAGTGTGTGTGTGTGTGTGTGTGTGTGTGTGTGTTGTGTGTGTTGTGTGTGTGTGTGTGTGTGTTGTGTGTGTAATAGGAAATAACACATCAATCACTGCTCATCACCACTGCCTAACATCTCTGTTCATCTCATCATAAGTTCCCTGAATTGTTTCCACTGCAATTGTCTGCCTTTGAAAAATGATCTAAATTAATTCTAATCATCATATATAAATACAAAATAAATATCCATTTGCAGCAAATTTTAGAATCATACTAGTGTAGAGTATCTATCTATCTATCTATCTATCTATCTATCTATCTATCTATCTATCTATCTATCCATCCATCCATCCATCCATCCATCCATCCATCCATCCATCCATCCATCCATCCATCCATCCATCCATCCATCCATCCATCCATCTATCCATCTATCTATCTATCTATCTATCTATCTATCTATCTATCTATCTATCTATCTATCAAGCTCTTATGCCTCAGCCTACCTTTCTCTGCCCTCTTCTCCTTCTAGTAGTGCCCTCATCCTCTCTTCCTTCCTCTGTTTCCCCCTTTTCTCCTCTGTCTTCTTTTCAGCCTATCAGTTTCTCCTTCTTGTTCTGTCTCTGCTCCTTTTTCATGATCTCCTCCCTCTCTCTTCTTTCTTTCTCTCTCTCTAGTTCTCATTTTCATCTGTCTCTCTTCTCTAGTTCATTCACTCTAATCACTGCTCACTCTCATCTTTCCTAATGCTTTTTTTTCTTCGCCCTTTCTCCTCTATGTACATTTTACATAAAACACACAGCCTGATGTTTGCTAATCAAGGTAAAAAAATTGGTAAATCACCCAATACACCCACCTATCTTTCTTCTCTGTTATCTTTGCTCCCTTTTCTCTTTCCTCTGGACTCCCCCCCACTGCCCGGCCCCAGCTTTCTGTTTCCCCAGCTCTCTATTTCTCTCACCCTTCCTCTCTTTCCCTATCTCTCTCTTTCTGTCTAGCTTACTATCCCCCCTTTATTTTCTCCCCCTTGTTCCCCTCCCCTGTTTCTGTGTGTCTTTCGCCATCTCAACTCAACTCTTCCCTCTTTGCTCTTCTTTCTCTCCGCACAATGCCCCTATCCTTTTCCTCTTTCCTCACTATGTCCTCCTCTTCCTTCCCCCTTTCCCCCTCCTCTCCTCTCTATACCCCCCCCCCTCCCCAATATCTATGTTCCCTTCCCATTTTCCTCTCTCCCCTTATTTTTCTCTCTTACCTTTCTATGCCCTCTAATTGCTCTTTTTTGCCCCCCTCTTTATCTTTCTCTTCTCTATGCCCCCTCTATCTTTCCTCTATCCCCTCTTCTTTTCTTTCTCTTTTCTCTATGCCCTGCTCTCTCATCTCCTCTCTCTACTTTTTGCCCCCCCCCTCTCTCTTTTCTCTCCTCTTGATTTTGTCCCTCTCACTTCTCTTTCCTCTTCATGCCCCCCTCCCTCCCTTTCTCTTCTCTCTTCTCTTCATGCCCCCTCTTCCCCTCTCTTCTCTACCTCCATGGCCCCCTCCTAATCTTCTCTCTATATCCATCGACTTTCTTTTCCCTCTCGTTTCTCCTTCCCTCTGTCCTCTCCATCTCTTCCAATATCTCCCCCTCTCTATGCCCCCCATCTTCTCTCTCCCTTTCTCCCCTATCCATTCCCCCTCTCCCATCTATCTCCTCCCTCACACTCCTTTCTTTCTCCCCCTGTCCGTGCCCCTCCCTTTCTTCTCTCTCTCCCTTTCTCTCCTTTTCATGCTCTCCTCTCCACTGTATCCCTTCCCTCTTTTTCCTCTACCCCCCCCCCCCCCATGTCTCCTGTCTGCTCCATCTCTTTCCACTCTTTCTCCCCTCTCTATGACCCCTCCCCTCTTTTTCTCTCTTATCCCCCACCAATTTCTCTCCCTTTTCTCTTTCCAGTTTCCTCTCCTCTCTATCTTCTCTACATACCTCTCTCTCTTTCTGTCACTTATTCTATCCCCTCTTTATTCCCCTTTCCTTTCTCCCCCCTCCCCCCCATCTCACCTTACTCTTTCTCTCTCCCCTCTCCCCTCTCTCCGCTCTCTCCCCTATCTTTCCCCCCTCTCTCGCCTTTCCTTCCCTCCTCTCTTCCCTCTCCTTCCCCATCTCTCCCCTCTCCTTCCCTCCTCTCTCCCCTCTGCTTCCATCATCTCTCCCTTCTGCTTCCCTCATCTCTCCCCTCTCTACTCTTCCTCTCCACTCTCTTTCCCTCTATCTCCTTTCTCTTTCTCTGAGTTTTCCTCCCTCTCTCAATGTCCCCTCTGTAATAACTGTCCCCAACGTTTAGGAATATTGCCTTTTACCTATATACTAATACAATTCCTGAAGCCCTATAGAAATCATATAAGAATCATACACTGAAAGGGAATATGCAGCAAGACTGCCTGCAGCATCCAATGTAACATTTGTGTAGCTGAAAAAAAAAAGAGCCAGCTTCATTGTCAGCGAAGCGTGACTGGCACTGATAGGGTTATTCTCTGCAATCACCTCAGCCAAATAACTTAGTGATTATGAATAAAACAATAATCTGGTATTTGGATGTTTGCTTGAACGATCTCGGGTTTGTGAAAGTCAGAAAAAGGTCAGTGACTGGAAGAGGAGCTGTGCTATGAGATGAACACATGACTTGACCACAGCCTAACATCCTGCAAAGTCCCCAATAATCACTGTGCATACAGGACCCCTCATTACAGGGGCTGAGCTGTGTGCAGCACAGCACATGTCATAGAGCAACCAGGCATGGATCCATACCCCTGCACCTTTACATTGTGCTGACAATGGCTTCCTACAACCAGATCAGTCAAATGATAATACAACACATAGAAGGGCTGCATAGGAAACTTCACAAACTACTAAACTCCCTTAAATTTTTAAGTCTTTTTTTTTTTAAATTGGGTCTGGTAGTGTTTGTTTAGTTATAAGCAGCAAAACAGCCTATGTGGAGTTTAATTCCTTTACTCCAGACACAGCTAGGACAACTGCAAACTATTGGTTCTTGGAAATTCAAAACTGAATTCATTCATTCTATACACACTTCTATTGCCTGTGCATAGTATGTGACTCTATAGCCATGGTGTTGCACTACAAATTTCACGTTCTGGGATCCCAATATGTAGTTGGGTTTTACAGTACTTGTGGGAACAACCAGGTTGTACAGTCACAGTGTTTATTAAAAACAAAATGACAGATGAAAAATAGGTTAAAATGTTGTTGGGACCAAAAGAGCAGTTGTTGCCCACTAGTGACCAACCAGATTTCAACTTTATTATCTGGTAAATGACACAAGGAATTTGATTGGTCGCTACTTTTATTCTCGTGGTCCTATTTACTAATATCCCCCCCCTCAGTTCTGTGCTCTGCTGTGCAAACCAAATTGTGGGAATATTCACGCCAATCATCCAATAATTTAAAAAGCAGTTTCCTGTATGCTTATTTCACCTGGACATTTTTATTGTGTAAATGAAGTGAGCAATCACACAATGGAGTAGGTGTACTAAACTGGAGAGTGCAAAATCTGGTGCAGCTGTATATGGTAGCCAATCGTCGTCTACCTTCAGTTTGTTCAATTAAGCTTTGGCAATAAAACCTGGAGGCTAATTGGTTACTATGCAGAGCTGCACCAGATTTTGCATTCTCCAGTTTTAATAAATCACCCCCATTCATGTATGAAGATTCTCAGCCCAAGAGTGCTCACTAGGAGTTGCTGAAAGTTTTCGTTAATTTCTATGGAAGTATGCATTATGGGATCACTGAGATCACCTTTCCTTTACTCTGCGTTCACTGTTAATTTGGGATATTTAAAGTAAACCTTTGCTAGGATAATAATTTAGCCCCTGTGCAAAATACTTTTGTCAGTGGTTTCAATCATAGTTCAGTTCAAAACTTCCACCTTTCCTTAATATTTATCTTATATTCCTTATTATAACTAAAAATGAGAACTTTCAAAGTAACTCTGAAAATGGTGTCAAGACTTTACCAGGAGTGCCAATAAATAGATGAACTGGTGTTAATCAATATATTTTACATTGGCTCTATGCACACTGGCTTAAAAATCGCTGATTCTACAGGAGTGTTGTGTTCTGTCTGTAGAAGCAGCTCAGTGTTATCCTATGTGTCCATTCACATTAGGACGATTAAAGGCATATTTTAAGCCCAACATTTAAAGGCAGGAAAAAAAAACCTTCTGGTTTGCGTTTTTGTTTGGAGTAGATTTCTG